CCCAGTTGTTGTGCAGCTCATACTAAAATTACCAGAGCAGGCAGCACTGGTTGTATGTGAGGAAAGGCAATTTGTAAAGTCAGGTTATGTGGGCAAGTTCATGCATCCTTCACAAAATAGCTTGCAAGATTAAGGCCTTTGTTTTGATGACAGCTGTTAGAATGCATGGGACCTGCTTGCAAAATCTACTCTGTCCCTGCATGAGTTGTATTCACTTGCTCCGTTTTATTGGGCTTGAGCAATTGACAGATTTGCTTATGTCTCCACTAACAGTTGTTTGGCAGTCAGTGCCTGGGGGTAAGAAAGGTGAACTGGCTGTCTGATGCCAGTGGAAGCTTCTGCCTTAATGCCAAGCTAATGCAGGTGTGGTAGGAGTTCTCCAGAGGCAGTATCTTGTGTGGATTTTTTTTTGGGAGGGAATATTTTGTTCCCCAAAGATGCCAGGCCTGGGGTGAATCCAGCTGACTTCACTAGGCCTTCACATGGGAGCAGCTTTTGGCAGAAGCTGTGAAGCTGCTTGTCTCTTTGGCATCTACAATCCTCTTGTGCATTGAGTTACTTGCTTGTATTATATCAGGATAGGGTCTGTGAGACACGGTAGAGTAATGGCTTTGTTGACTTGACACGCTCGGGATCTCAATATCGTGCTGTCAGGCAGGAGGGCATGACACAAAATTATATACACAAAAGATTCATATGAAAATTATTGGTCTGCACACACATCCATACATAGACACACACTCGGGCAGCTGCGTGTTGGTGCTTGCGGTGCTTGATGACTAGGAGAAATTCCAGGGGCAGAGCAGGAAATGGAGCCGGGAGCAGGGTGAAGAGCTGGGACAGGAGGGAAGCCAGGGGTCAAGGCGGCAGAGAGGCCAGGGGCTAAGGCAGCAGAGAGGCTGGGATGGGGATCAGAGGAAGCAGAGAAACGGGAGTGTTGGAGGTGGCAGAGAGAGAGAGAGAGAGAGAGCAGGGATGGAGGTGAGAGAGAGAGGGGATGAAGATCAGAGGGGCAGGGAGCAGAGTTTGGAGCAGGGCCAGGATTACAGTAAGATAAAACCCAACTCGGGGTTCCAAGTAACAGTTTTATTAGACAGAAAAGGGGTAACACAATATTTGGATTACAAATTATTGGTTCCTGCACACACAGTTACAGTTACACACTCACACAATGGTAGCAGGGGAGAAACTGTTTAGTAGAGAGATTGAAATCAAGGGGTATAGAAACAGAGTTCAGGTCCCTTGTGTGGAGGGAAGATGCAGGTGATAGATACCTATCCAGGCTGAGTCGATTGTTGATGGCCAGTCGTGGTCTTCTCCAGCAAGGTGTTGTCCAGAGGGGGTTTGCCGGCAGGGCCTCTGGGTGGATAGGTGGCATGGTGTAGTGCTGGTTCAGATGGAGAGGGCATCCCAAGGAGGTCACACTCTACCACCCTTTTTATAGGGGTGGGCTACCTGTGACTCTAATGGGGAGGACATGCCCAGGCAAGGGCCAGTCCTGCTCAGATGAGGACATGCAGTTTCATGTCCTCATTGTCCCGTGAGATACAATAGTGGAGTTGCTGGTTTCTTTTCTGTTCTTTGTTTCTATGTTGCTGGTTTCTTGGAGGGTCTTTCAAATATTGGGTTTTATCTCTGGTTCTGGGAGTAGGTCTGTGGTTTCAAAAAGAGTCACTGCCCAGAAGCAGAGGCAATGTCCAGCTGTCATGATTGCACTTATGCAGCTGCCAGTGGTAGCTGCTTTTTTTTTTTTTTTTTGCCCCCTGCCTCCCTCCCCCAAGTTGGCACCTGGGGCAGTTGCCCCCTTTGCCCTGACAGGTGCCCCCTTTGCCCTGTGGTTTCAGGGAGAGTCAATGCAAGGCAGTGGTAGGGTCGTTAAGTTGATGGTCCGGTTATTCAGTAGGAGCTATTTTTAGACCTGCTATCATTATGTCTCAAGCACTCTCATTCACCCAGGAACCAATTTACATGGGAGGTGTAGGTACAAGTCACAGTTAAAACACAATTACAATAGGGTATACCTGGGCAGGGGACACAGAATGGAGACTTGACAAGACGAGATGGAGACTTAACATTACTTTGGCTAACTTACATAAACAGGCCTAAATATCAATATAAAACAGTAAAAATGAATACAAATATAATAGGAATACAATATAAACCAATAAAAATCAATACCAAAATAATGGCACTATTTACAATGATACATGGACAATATAAAAGGGGCTTGTTACAGTAATGGAGAGCTTATCCTATGTTCGTAACTATGACTTATCACAACTACTTATATGGAATAGAGAGGGCAAAGAGAAAGTCAGAAATGGTTGGAGAAGGGAGGGAATGTATTTTTAAATTAAAAAAAACCCCAAACAGCCAAAACTGGGGGTTTTGCTACAGCTTGTGGTGGGACTCTTCCAAGCTTTGCCCTTAAGAGTCAGTAAAGGGAGAAGCTGCCCAGATGCATGTGACTGCATTGCTGCCAGTCTCCCTTAATGTCCTTGAGCTTGGCTTCTCTTCCACAGGGTGTGAAAATCTCCCTGGGCTTGGTTAATGAACAAGTGGCATCTATGGCATCAAAGGAAAAAAAAAATTAGCCTTTCACTCCTAGCAAAACAGACAGAGCAGGAGACCCTTCCTCTTAAAGGAATGAGATAACTCAAATGGCAGAGCTGTTAAAGATATGAGGAGGGCAAGGTCCACTTTGCATTCCAGGATGTCTGCATCAGGTTGCGTTTTTGGTGAAGTTTTCGTGGAATGTGAGGGTTAAACATTATTTTTTTTTTTTGTTTATTTTAAGGAAATAAAGTCCTGGCAACTTGGGGATTCAGAGAAATGAAGAGGGGGAAGGAAAAATGTGTGTTTTGTGGCCTTTCCTGTGGGGTTTATTTTTAGTATCCAGTAACTTTCCAAGGACAACAGTTTCCCTCGGCCTTAAAAAATGCTTATGCTATATTATCTTATTTCATTTGGGAGCCAATTTTTTTCGGCAGCTGTGCCTCAAATCAGCCCTGTGACACTCTGATTCCCTTCCTCTGTACCTTCTGCGGCTCTGCTTTGTGCTCTATCTGCTACTGTGATGCTTACCCTCTCCCTGCTGCATGCCACACAGAGGCTACCCAAGTCACTTGTGGCATGTGTGCTGCAGGTTGGCCACCTCTGTCTTATTTAATATAGAGGTGGCTCTCTATATATTACATATATAGAGAGAATTTAGCAATGCATCAGTGTGTTATATTCTGTAAAGGGGGAAGGTACTGTAAGGAGTGAAGGGTTGGGGACCGACGTTATCCTTCACTGTACTGTAGTGATTCTCAACTGGGAAATCCTTCTAAGGGTAATTTTCAGTATGATCACTGTTAGGTGTGCAAACACTTGAACTTGATTCTCACGATAAACCCAGCTATTTCAAATAGGAATCCAGAGGATCAAAACCATTTTGCCCGGTTGTGGTCTGCCAGAGTTCTTTGCAGCAGATGAATGCTCTATCATTTTTCTGGGTTGTTGGTTATTGCTGTGTTGGTCTAAGGACATAGGCAGACAAGATTCTTTGGGTAAATGTGATATCTTTTATTAGACCAACTTAATAGTTGTAGAAATTGTTCTTTACAAGCTTTTGGGCACAAGCACCCTTCTTCAGGCATAGGGAGAGTGCATATTGGCTTCTGTTCCATCCAGGATAATGCAAAACACCACCAGACTCTCCGTATGGCTGAAGAAGGGTGTTTGTGCCCAAAGGCTTGCAAAGAACATTTTTCCAGCTATTGAGTTGGTCTAATAAAAGATATCAGAACTCGTGTTAGAGGTGATAACTTTTATTAGACCAACTAGATGTTTGCAAAAAAAACATGCTCTGATTGCAAGGTTTCAGGCACAAGCACCCTTCTTCAGGCATAGGAGAAAAGATTGGAAAAGTTTTCCTAGGTAGAAATAAAAGAAACGTGTGTGTGTGTGTGTGTGTGTGTGGGGGGGGTGTTAAACTGTAATTTCTACCCAGGAGAACTTTCCCAATCCTTTCTCCTATGCCTGAAAAAGGGTGCTTGTGCCTGAAAGCTTGCAGTTAAAGATTTTTTTTTGCAAACATCTAGCTGGTCTAATAAAAGATATCAGCTACCATGAGTCCTAATTCTTTTTGCCTCTAGTCTAGACTCTAGACCAATATGGCTACAATCTGGATACCTAATAAAAGATATAGGCAGACAAGGGTCTTGGGATAAATCCAATACCTTTTTATTACACCAACTCAAATAGTTGGAAACATTCTTCCTTGCATGCTGTTGGGCACAAACACCCTTCATCAGGCAACCTACACCCCTAATAAAAGATACCAAAGAACCTTGTCTGCCTTATTATTTTTCTGTAGTTATTATTATTCTTTTTTTTTAATGAGGTGCCACTACCTTTAGAAAAATAATAGAGGGAATGGATGTGTTGAGTCTATAAAGAAATGCAAAGATCTAGAACTCCTGGTTCAGAGATGATACCTTTTATTAGACCAACTGAGAAACTGCAAAAAAAAATGTTGTCTTTTCCTGCAAGGGTGTAAGTTGTCACCATGTTGGTTTAAGGACATAGGCAGGCAAGGGTCTTTGGGTGAATCTGATATCTTTTATTAGACCAACTTTAAATAGTTGGGAAAAAAACTTGCAAAAGCTTGCCAGCATTTTTTCCCCCCAACTATTTAAGTTGGTCTAATAAAAGATACCGGATTCACCCAAAGAACCTTGTTTGCATATATTTTTCTGCAAGCTTTCGGACTCACACGCCCTTTGTCAGGCTCAGGCAAAGTTCAAGATGGTAAAAAGTCCCCATAGGTAGGAAATCAACTTCATTTTTGCACAAAGGGAGCTGAAGCTGGAAGGAGGAGAGCCACTGCTCTGCTCTGAGCAGCCCCCTACGCCTGCGTGTGCCTGGCTGAGGCTGGGGGTAATAGTCACCATCTCCCACTAGGCGTCTCTGGACCTGAGTTGATTCAAACAGTTAAACACGAAGGACTGGGGACGGGGAGGGGTTTGGGGAGGCGGCTGCAGAGCAGGGCTCTAGGGCTGTTTTCACTTTCGCTGCAGCTCGCAGGGTGAGAGGCTTGGTACTGCTCTGCCCTGCCCCAGCCCTTCCTTGGCACCCGGATCGCTTGGAAAAGGTAAAGAGCGGTGCCAGGAACCCCCTGATCCTCGTGTGTGTGGGGGGGAGGAAGGAAGCCCACCTGGAGCAGCAACAGCAACAAAGGAAGCCCTCCTCTCCTCCCCCCCAGCCCTGGACTTTGCAGGGGAGGTTGGATGGGCCTGAGGTTGGTGGGGCCAAACAGTAGGGGGTTGCCCCGTGTTAGGGGCTGGGGGCATCTGTAGAGAGAAGCTGGTTGCTGTGCTGTAGGCATGACCCTGCCACCCACCTCGCCTCTTGTTTAGATGTGGAGTGAGTGTGTGTGCGGGTGGGGGGGAGGGAGGATGGGGGGGGAAACTGTTCCCTTCTTCCCCCAACAGCCCCCCCCCCAACTTGCTGGCTTGGCCCCAGGTTTTTCCTTTGGTTTTTGGGAAGGGGTGCAAAGAAATGCAAAACCACGTGGGTTTGGGCTGACGCTGCATTAATCTCGAGCCTTTGAGTTGCAAACGTTGAGACATAAGCCCCCCCCGCCTGCAAATCGATCCCTCCTCAAAAGTTTGCTTCCCTGCTTAGAAGAAATGCAAACATCTAGCACTCTTGGTTCCAAAATGATACCTTTTATTAGACCAACTGAGAAATGGCAACAAAAAAAAATATTTTCCAGAAAGAATACTTCTCAGCTTAGTACAGGTCATATCCTGAAGCCCCAGAGCAGTGCTGAGGTGGTGCCTTTGAGAAGGCCATGGATCCTTGCCAGGCGGCATCTGTGATGTTCTTGAGAAACCAGAACTTAAAAACAATGTCTTTGGCTCTGTCTGAGCGCATCAGAAAAGGCTTCTGCCTGGAAGAGCTTGTAGTCAAAGGCCCTCACCTCCATTCGCATCATTTTTTTTTTTTGTGGAGGGTCCTCTCTGATACTAGTGGGGATCTATGGGAACATGGCATCACCTTTTATTTGTTGAGAAGCAGGACCTTTTCTTTCTAGCCCCAGACCAAGGCTTCATAGCAGTAAGAGCTGGGAGCACATTGCACTGCATACCTGTATCATTAGGAGCCTTTGAGGCACAGGAGCCTTAGAGGGTGGTTGTTAGTGGGAGGGAAGGGGAAGTCCGAGAAGAGACCTAAAGGGAAAGA